CAGCCTGCCCGGGCCCAGAGTGCCCCCAGCCCCTCAGCATCTTCACAGCCTCCACTGCACTCTCTCCAGTAGTTCCTTGACTCTCCAACCCACTGGGTCAATTGCCTCCTGGCTAATCCCAATTTCCACCAGAAAGCAAAGTCCTCCTGGGCAAGCTCTAGTGCTGCCCAGGCCCAGGCAGGCGGTGGCTGTGAGTCGTTCAGAGAGGCTCCTTACCCAGGGTTCTCCGGATGAGGTACAGCTGGTCAACATCAGACCTGCCAGGCCACAGGGGCACCCCGGAGAGCAGCTCGGCCAGGACGCAGCCGATGGCCCACACGTCCACGGGGGGCCCATACTGGGTGTCCCCCACGAGCAGCTCCGGGGAGCGGTACCACCTGGTAGCCACGTAGTCCGTGTAGTAGTCGCTCGGGCCAGCTGGATCAGGGTCAGGGAGGAGAGAAACAAAGAGGAAAGGGGGCTTAGAATGACACAGATGAGCCACCATTAGCTGTCATGTGTGTTGGGGCACCTCCTGGGCAGGCAGTAGCTGCAGGAACAGCAGGAGTCACAGGCCACTAGGTTGGGCAAAAATCAAGACTGTATTTTTCTCCAAATGAAAACATGCAGAGCTCCATATCAGGGCTCTGCACCAGCCAGAGGTCAGTTCTCAAAGCCCACATGATTTGTCAGAACAAAAGCTGAAAAAAATACAAATCAGATTAGGGGGTTTATTTACAAGAGGAAATGTGAAGCCAGAGACAGCACCTTCTGCCAGAGGGGCTCCTCCTGCCAGGGAACTCCAGGGATGCCTCCAGCACTGCATAAGCAACGCCTGGGCAGCTCCAAGATGCCCACAGCCAACCTCATCTACCAGTGGCAGCACCACCAGCAGTCCTGCTGCACAGCAGGGAGCTCAGATGGATATTGTTTACAGAGCCACTTGCCATTGGGGTAGGGGGACCTGGGCTGGGTCCCTTTAAGCTGGTTTGGGGATCTCTGCCCAGAACTTGGCAGAACTTCTCTGTGAAAACATGCCAGCCTCTATACAGAATGATTTACACATGCAGCAGGCAAAGCCAAGTGAGTCTTTACTGGTGTTTGGAGGCCTGATCCTGCAGTTCTTGGAGCTTTCAGGTGTTGACAGTCCCTGCAGGCAGGCAGTGGGCACTCACTCAGTCTGCGAGCGAAGCCGAAGTCACAAAGTTTGACGACCGAGTGCTTTGTTATCAGGATGTTTTCTGGCTTCACATCTCGGTGGATGCACTGGGAACAGGAAAAAAAAAAAACAAGGTTAGAAGCAAGTATTTAACCTGGCCCTCATAGAAAGAGCAGATCAGCCACACTCCCCCTGCACATCGTGCCAGGCAGGTTTTGAAAGAGAAATGAAAGGATTTCTCACCAGCAGTGAGAGCTGGACGACATGGAGCCAGCTCCCCAGCACCAGCCAGGAACCCACAGGCAGGGGTGAGGCTTGCACAGGGAGCACTGCTGGCAGCCTGGCTCTCTGCAGATGCAACTCACTCCACACACCTACGTGTAACACGCTCCTAAGGGGCTTGGTTTAACAGCTACGTGGAGAGATCCTAAATGAGAGGTGAGTAGGTCCACTGGGTTCAGTTCTTGGACCAAGTCCATGAGATGTATTTACTCAATCTAGTAGACAAGCAAAGGATTTTGCTGGCAAACCTCACAGATGAGACGTGGTTTAGATGTGGGACTTTATCTACCCTTGTCGAAGCCAGAGCACTCCTGGTGTTCCCTCTACTCAGCACAGGTAAGACACAGCCAGAGTTCTGTGTCCAGCTCTGGGATCCTCAGCAGAAGGAAGACATGGGCATATTGGAGTGACCCCAGCAAAGGGCCACCAAAATGATTAAGAGGTTGGAGTATCTGACATCCAAGGAGAGGATGAGGGAGCTGGGACCACCATTCAGCCTGCAGAAGAGAAGGCTCAGACAGGATCTTACCAATGTACACAAACACCTGATGGGGAGGAGTAAAGAAGGCAGAGCCAGGCTCCCCTCAGTGGTGTCCAGTGAAAGGACAAGAGGCAATGGGCACAAATTGAACACACAGGAAAAAAGATTTAAATGTAAGCAATATTTTTGTTTGTTTTTTTTTTTTTTTACTGTGAGGGTGGCCAAACGCCCAAACAGATTACTCAGAGATTCTGTGGAAACTCCATCCTTGGAGATAATCAGACACTGACTGGAGAAGTTCCCGAGCAGCCTGTTCCAGCTGGCCCAGCTCGCGTGGGAAGGCTGGAGTAGACATCCCCAGAGGTCCTGCAGGGGTCTGTGTTTCTCTGGCTTTTCCGCCGACAAAAACCAAACGTGATCCTTTGTCTCCCTCCGCTGGACCGGGGATAAACCTACCACACAAGTTTTCGGAACTTTCTCACCTAGATAGGGAACTCTATAAAAGGGGGAGGATTTCCCGGGCTCATCTCAGTTCCCCTCGGGGCCCGGGGCAGGACACGTCGAGACCCGCGGCGGTCCCGGGTTCTGCGCGCCGCCATTTCAGACTGCGTCTCCCGGCCGCCATCTTGCCGACACTTCCGGGAACTACACATCCCAGAAGGCTCTGCTTCCAGAGACTTCCGGTCGACGCCATTTTGCGGCCGAAACTACAACTCCCATCATTCTTCAAGGGACTTCCTGCCGACGCCATCTTGTGGACTGGGAATTTGAACTTGCGAACTGTTTCTTTCTTCCTTTTTTCTTTTTTCCCCCTTTTCTTTTCCTCAGCCGCTGTTAACCCACAATAAATCGCACAGTTCCTACAGTGGACATGGGTCTCGTCAATACTTTCTGAGCCTGGTAAAGGGTTGTTTTTGACCTACCCTTGAGAGGCGAGCGCCCCGTGAGCTCTCGGCCTCCTCCATACCCCTCTAGTCCCTCTGGGCAGGGTGGAGGTCGGACATCCTGACCCGGTAACCCCTGACACCGGCCCACGACAGGTCCCTTCCAACACCAGCAACACTGTGAGCCTTGAGAAGTCACCTTGCCTGATCAAAGTTCACAACAACTGAATTTGGGCTTGGGAAAGTTTCTGCTGATGAAACTAGCAGAGACCTCCACTTCTGCCTGCGTGTGAAAGATGTGCTCTGCTGAAGTCACCAGGGTCTAGCTCACGCTGTCCCTTCCCTACCAGCACCTCGGCACAAAACCTCAGGCTCTGTCTGGCTAAGCTGGTGGTAAATTGTGTCTGCTCTTGAGGACTGAAATGCTTGTTATACCAGTGTCACGGAGTTCCACAAGGGGCAGCTGCATAAAACCTCATTACCTGTGACCTAAGCAGGTCAAACTGCAGCATCTCATTGCTCCCTTTCCTTTAAAATCCCTGCCTCGGTGTGAAAGATTTAAGGGAGAACTGAAAAAAATGAAGAAAACCAACAAATCCTGGAAGCAGGACAGACTTACAGCCAAGTTCCTGTGGCCCAGCTGGACAATTCTCCCAGACAAGACAAAACACCCATTCCAGGCTGATCTCCTGCCCAACTCTTAAATCTCAAATATTGGCAAATAAACAAAAAACAAAGGTAATTAGAGTTACGTTTGCCCAGAGAACTTCTCTAAAAGGCTCCTTTCCTTCCCTGCTTCTTAAAGCATCCCCTCTGCTTCCCACAGAAGAACTGCCATGCTCGTTTCCCTTCAGAAAGCAGAGCAGGGGTTGTAAAACCAGTTTACTGTACCTCATTTTTGCAATCTTTTAACTGGTGTCATGCTTCAGTACCTACAAGAATCCACAGAAGGACTTTCTGGGAAGCCAGCAGCAGTTTGCTCAAGTCTCAGCTGATCAGATGCTAACCCAGGTCTTCTAAATGTCAGTCCCAGGGAACACACAAGGGTATGTTCCACTTCAGCCTGGAAGCTTGTCTAAGGTCCTTAGTGCAAACCACTCCTTGAGGGCAAACCCAAGGGACCTCTGTGACCATAAATGCAACTGTTGTGGGCATACACTAATATTTCAGGTACACGTTTCTGCTGAAACCAGGAAACTTCAGCTGACTTGAACCCACAAAAGCTCTGCAATCAGGAAAACAGCCACAGAATCTCCCTCTCCTCCAACTGTTCGTGCTGCTCAGGGGACTTACGTTGTGCTTGTGGCAGAAGTTCACAGCTTGGAGGGTCTGCCACATTATGCTCTTCACCAGATGCTCCGGCACCCTGTTTTTAAAAAAACACATTTTTATTTTGGCCATTAAAAATAATTTCACTATTGCAGAGAAAAAGGAATAGGAGATCTTTGAATGCTAACCTCATTCAGGGATCTCTGAGCAAAACCATCAAGGACCAAGTCAGAAAACTCAGAGAAACAAGCACTAGCTGCATTTTCTTGCCACAAATAAGTTACAAGAAACATCATAACCCTCAGGTTATGTCCACGTCAAACCCTGTCCTGTGGCTGTATTTAGCACCCTGCCTCTGCAGCCACTCGGAGCTGAGGTGGTGGAGTACCCGTGGTATAGATGCCTGCTCTGACCTGCAGTGCTGTCATGTCATTGACTGTCCCATTGATTGACCAAAATGGGATGGGAGGGATGTTCCTACAGCAATATAAAGCTCTGCTTGGTTTGCAGCTCCTCTGCTTCCCTCCAGCAGCTGGCAAACACTTCAGAGAAAGAAACCCTCTGTCAAAGATCCAGTCTCCTCTCTTTTGTCACTGTGCAGTTCTTGAATAACCCTGGCTGTCTGTAAGGGTCTTTAACAACCCCCAGTAAGGCAGAAAATCACAGAATCATAGAATTGTTTTGGTTGGAAAAGACCCTCAAGATCATTGAGTCCAGCCATTCCCCCAGCACTGCCAGGTCCCCACTGCCCCGTGTCCCTCACACCACCTCTCCTCAGCTTGGAAACCCCTCCAGGGGTGGGGACTCCCCCACTGCCCTGGGCAGCCTGGCCCAGCCCTGGACATCCCCTGGAGGAAAGAAATTGTTCCTCAGCTCCAACCTCAACCTCCCCTGGTGCAACCTGAGGCCATTTCCTCTCCGCTCGTCACTTGTTCCTTGGGAGCAGGGCCTGGCCCCCCCCTGGCTCCAGGCTCCTGTCAGGAGCTGTGCAGAGCCAGAAGGTCTCCCCTGAGCCTCCTTTGCTCCAGGCTCAGCACCCCCAGCTCCCTCAGCTGCTCTCCTCAGACTCCAGGTGAATGGATTCAAGCTGTGCTGAAAGCTGCTCACAAAGCCACCTGCTATCAGTACGTTCCACTCTCCTTCTAGAGCTCCACATCAGGGAGAAAAAGAGTAACAGGCACTTGTTTACTCAGTCCCCAGTTAGTCTCCTGCAGGCAATTCATTTACCTCCAGGCCTGTACAATGATTTATGAACTTCTGCTCAGCATTTCCAGGGCACCAAGTCACTGTGAATAAGGAGGGACAATGCACTGAGTGGGAGTGGCATTTAGAACGTGTCAAAAGAACAAACCCTGTCCTGGAGAATGTTCCTCCTGCCCCTGGAGCTCCCACTTGGTGCAAGTACCTGTTTAAAGACCTGACACTGTGCAGAGAGGTGCAGGCACAGCTCCAGGTAACTCCTGCCAGCCAACACAAGCTCCTTAACACAGCAGCATGGCTAGAAGGCACTGTTCTGGCATACAGTCATCAGTGACACCACTACAGACTGTATTTGTGTGCTTAAAGGGGGTGCTGAGCCTGGAGCAAAGGAGGCTCAGGGGAGACCTTCTGGCTCTGCACAGCTCCTGACAGGAGCCTGGAGCCAGGTGGGGGTCGGGCTCTGCTCCCAAGGAACAAGTGACAGGACAAGAGGAAATGGCCTCAAGTTGCCCCACGGGCGGTTGAGGTTGGCCCTGAGGAACAATTTCTTGCCCTTGAGGGTTGTCCAGGGCTGTGCCAGGCTGCCCAGGGCAGTGGTGGAGTCCCCACCCCTGGAGGGGTTTCCAAGCCGTGGAGATGTGGTGTGAGGGACACGGGGCAGTGGGGACCTGGCAGTGCTGGGGGAACAGTTGGACTCGATGATCTTAAAGATCTTCTCCAACCTAAATGATTCTGTGATTCTGTGCTTGCCCCAGTGCCCACAGCCTCGCAGGGGATGAGACAGAGCAGCAGGAAGGAGAGCTGGGTGTCTCCAGCCCACCTCCCCACAGCCTCCAGCAGCCCTGACCTCTTGGTGGGGGTACACAAGCCTCTCCCACAGCCCCCAGGTCGCTGCTGCTGGCCAGGCAAAGCTCACCCCGGGCTGGGGCCCTGCTCTCTGGTCTCCTTGGTGAGCAGCTCCCTCCAGGAGCATGTGCAGCTCACACACAGTTCTCCTGGGTGTCATCACTAATGCACAGCAATGGGGCGAGTCCTGGGCACCAGGCTGAGAAACCTCTCCTGTCACTGGTGACATCCTCAGAAAACTCTGCAGAGAGCCCACAACACAGATCCCCCCCGACTCCTGGCTCAGAGCTCCCAGTGATGGACAGGCCACTCACCCCTGGGGGTGCCTGTCCAGCTCATGGAGAACTGTGTGCTCGCAGTATTCGAAGACCAGGTGCAGCCTCCGCTTCCTCCGGAACACCTCCAGCAGGTTCACCAGGTTGGGGTGTTTCAGTTGCTGCAACACAAAGTGGATGGACTCGTCAGTTACTGCAGGGGGTAGCAGGGTGACAAGGCTTTTGCCCAACTCCTTCAGCTGAAACTTCCTCTCCAAGCACAGCACAACGTGAAGCAGCTCAGCTGCAGCTCAGCCTGCGGTGCAGTTATTTTAGGAACTGACTGTGGGCAACAAGTCCTCTTGGATTGAGAGAGTGCCTCTTGGAAAAGATGCTGTAGATGAAGAATTCACCACGGTGCCCACAGCAGGTTCATTGTAGGTATCCAGCCTTGGCCTGCACCACAACAAAAAGCAGCTCTCCTTGGGAAACCCTCGCACGTGGGTTAATGAGATTACTGCTGCTTCTTCCTCTTCCTCTGGGTTAAACCTGCCCTGTCTGAAGCCAGGACACCACTTCATGTGCTCAAAGCTAACAAAGGGTCTAGAGGCCAAGTGTGGTGAGGAGCAGCTGAGGGAGCTGGGGGTGCTGAGCCTGGAGCAAAGGAGGCTCAGGGGAGACCTTCTGGCTCTGCGCAGCTCCTGACAGGAGCCTGGAGCCAGGGGGGGGTCGGGCTCTGCTCCCAAGGAACAAGGGACAGGACAAGAGGAAATGGCCTCAAGTTGCCCCAGGGGAGGTTGAGGTTGGACCTGAGGAACAATTTCTTCCCCTGGAGGGTTGCCCAGGGCTGTTCCAGGCTGCCCAGGGCAGTGGGGGAGTCCCCACCCCTGGAGGGGTTTCCAAGCCGTGGAGATGTGGTGTGAGGGACACGGGGCAGTGGGGGCCTGGCAGTGCTGGGGGAATGGTTGGACCTGAAGATCTTAAAGGTCTTTTCCAACCAAAGTGATTCTGTGATTCTATACCAGGGCCTCCTCCCCTGGGGAGCTCAGAGAGCTTCCTACCACACACAGCCTGAGCACAGCAGGGTTATTCAGATGCACACTGCAAGAGGTGAGGGTGGACATTACTGGAGCTTCTAATTTCCTGTTCTTTTACCCACATTTTGGGGGAGTGCTGGGAGAGGGTTTGAACCAAGGGGCTCAGCACAGTGTTCAGAAAAGGAAACAGAAAGCCAGGCCTGACTCAGGAATGTTATTTCTTTTCAGATGGCTCGTGGCACCATCCCTGCTGCTTGCAGGGACCTGTATCCAGGAGAGCTCTGCCTGAGCACAGCTTTAGAACAAACAAGGAGGCTGGAAAGGGCATTGCCTAGGAGTCAGCTAGCCCTGTCTTCTAAAGGGCCTCTAAGCTGTCTGCAAAGACTGCAAAGGAGACAGAGGTGAAGAATCAAGGCTAGAGAAAACTGTAAGAGGCCCCAGCTGAGGAATGCTGCCCCAAAGCTGTCCCAAGACCACACCAACACGTGGGTCCCCACTGGGGAGCTCATCTCTCTCAGCAGCATCTCTCCCCACGTACACCTCTCATTCCTTCAGTCCTGCCCACACTGGGTAAATCATCTGCCAGCATCAGAGACCTTTGCACCCATCTGCATCAAACCAAGGGCACAGCCAAGGTCTTCTCACCATCTCACCCTGACCTCAGCTGACAGATAGGCTGTCTCTGCACACCCTCAGTTCCCACGGCAGGGCTGCTACTGAAAACATTAAACCACAAAAGAGGCAGCTCCTGACACCTCTCAGGCTTGGTATTTATCCAGCAGTATCTCCATTCTCACCATTTCCTTCTCCTTTTTGCAAAAGATGTCCACATGCAGAGGACGGCCCTCAAGACTGCTGAAAATCCCAGCAAGGATGGCGAGTCTCCAGGAACTGTGTGCACACCACACCACCTACCCCACTGGGTACGTCCACGTCGAGCCAGGGACCTCCTGGCCACGTGCACCTTAGACAAAGGCCAACCTACCAGCTGAGACTCCACCAGAGAAGTCAGACAGCTGCCACAGCTCTGGTCCAGCCCCTTCCCTCACCAAAGCAGCTCCTGATAGGCTGCATAAAGTGGATCACAGAAAGGTTTGGGTTGGAAGGGCCCTTAAAGACCATCTAGTTCCAATTTCCAGCTCAACTTTTTTTTCATCTCAACTTCACAACGTCAGAGCTAAAACCTGTGTGGGCCTGGATGTGAAGGCAGGGGAGACAACACCCTCTGGGGACAGCAGGCACCCATGGGTTTACACACAGACTCACTCTGTTCCCATGGATTTCCCACCTTTCCTACAGGATCAAGGTGTCCCAACCCTCTGCACACTGACCGGCTCTCCCACCCCACCTCCCACAGCTCCTGCCCACACACCCCCTTTGTCCCCAGGGCGTTTGCTGTGCAGAACAGCAACCTACCAGGCCCAACATTTTTCACCCAGGAAACACAATCTCCCTACAACTTCAACAAACACTCGGATGTTGCCTAAGCCAGGAAATATCTCCACAAACAAACAAGCAAACTGTTACTATTGACAGAGAAAAAGCTGCAAAGTCAAGCAGGTCTGCACTTGTTAGAACCCAGAGTGCCCCACGGCAGCTCCTGCCACGGTGAGCTGCAGGGCTGGCCAAGGGTGTCACATGGGCCACCTGCACACCGAGTGACTTCTGCAGGGGTTATCTGCCCTTTCAGATCCTTTAAATCTTCATTGGTCTCCAGCATTGGTTACTAAATTAAAACAGCGATGTGTCATAGAATCATAGAGTCATTAAGGATGGAAAAGACCTCTAGGATCAAGTCCAACCGTCAACCCAACACTACCATGAGCACTAAACCCTGTCCCCAAGTGCTACATCTATGTGTTTTTTGAACCCCTCCAGGGATGGGGACTCCACCACCTTGCTGGACACCCTGGGCAAAGGCCTCACCACTCTGCCAGGAAAGAAATTCTTCCTAATATCCAACCAAAATCCCCCCTGGTGCAACTTCAGCCCATTTCCTCTCATCCTATCAATGGTTACCTGGAAGAAGAGCCCGACCCCCACCTGGCTCCAGGGCCAGAAGGTCTCAACCCCTCCAGCTCCCTCAGCTGCTCCTCACAAGCCATGTTCCCCAGACCCCTCCCCAGCTTCTTGCCCTTCTCTGGACCCACTCCAGCAATCCAACGTTACCTCTTTGCCTCAGACAGCAGAAAAACTTTTGCTGCTTTTCCCCAGAATCTCACTGAAAAAATAAATCTGCTTTTTTTTCTTAGATGATAGCTCCTCTAGGATGGTATCCAGGCTTATTTTGCCTCTTTGCAGCAGGTGGAGGGTCAGGGCTTTGCATGCCCTCAACAGTAACATTTACATCACCTGATATATAAATGCTCAATAAAAGATGAGCTGATAGCACAAAGAGATTTTGGGAAAAGAAGCATCACAAATACCTGCTGAAATCTTGCACTGAATTGCAAATCTGAGTTATCTGGTTTCCAGCAAGCAAATTAAGCAAACTCCACAGAAGGGAACAGAGTGCAACAAGGATCAGCTGCTGCTACAAGAATACCAACAGGCTGTGGAATTTGGGAATATCCCAGGGATCAAGGGACAACGAATTTTGAAGTTTTAAATAAAATGGAACACCTTTCTCTGCAGATTTCTGGAGGGTTCTGTTAACTCCAAAATCCCAAATCATGGAATGCATTGTGTTTATTCTGAACAGCACAGTTTCTTGTAAAAAGGCCTCTCAGTGAAGAATTTTTTTTTTAAATACACACTAACCAAACATGCTGCTAATGGCTCTTTAATCAGTTCTGTGTTTTACAGCTATGGCTCTTCTGCCTGGCAAAGAGAAAGCTGAAGATGGGGAGGTGACAGAGCTGCCCTGGAGAAAGTGAAAAGGGAATAACTCTCCCCACTTCTCAGAACACACAGCTGAGGGTACTGTATTCCCATCACCCACCAGCGAGTTCATAACAAATAAAAGGAAATATTTTTTCCCACCACGCATTCCTAAAGTCATGGCACCCACTGCCTCAGGAAACTATGGAGACCAAATGAACACACCAGTTCCAAAAGAGATGGGACCCACTCCCAACGGTCTGTGAAGATCTGCTAAGCATGAAGCAACGGGCACAGCCTCTGGCTCTAGAAACATTGCCCCAGAAGCTGTGTGTGTGATAGGAAACCTCACCCCATCCTCTCCCTCTTTCTCCTGGGTTTCTCCTCATTTCTGCAGGCTTGATGGACCTGGGTGTGACTCACTCCAAATGTGCCTGTGCTTTCATTTCAACAGCACAACAAACACAGGCTGAATGAGCAACCCACTTCTACGTGAGGATGAGCTCTCACCCAGCTGAGACAGGATCAGCAAAGACAAGGTGCTGCCACGGTTCAGAGGAGCTGGTTCTGCAGTTGCCTCCATGCATGAACACCTCTGAGCCTACACAGCTGAATTCCAGTGCTCACCAGGCTCTGACACTGCCACTGCCCCACAGCCAGGGGCTCAGAAAGGGCGTTCTAGGGAGGAGCTGGGGCACGTTTAGAAAGTGAGGAGCTAGGAGAGCTGTGCCCCATGGCTGTCCCCCATCCCATGCTATCTAGGAGCACTTTTTGCTCACAAGCTTTACACCAGCCCCAACAGTTCTTGTCTCTGGAGGGAAATCTCCAGGATGCAGAGAGGGCTGTTGCTGGCCAGTCTGTTACAGCTGGTGACAACCATGTGCTATGGGCAGAGCTGGGCCTCCACTGGCTAGGACAGCGCTGGCTCCGTGGAGGGACGGGGACTGGATCAACCCCTCTCCAGAGGGCACAGCGATCACTCCTCTGACACTCCTCCCTTACCCACGCAGAAGAAATCTCCAGGCAATTGGCAGCCTGCTCCTTGCAGGGTCTCAGCTTCCACCTGCACCAAACCTTTCTGACACCGGACAGCCTGGGCTGTGGATCACCTCAGTGCCAGGGCAAGTCCCTCTGGCCAAACGGGTCAGACTGGCACTGGCCTTCTTGCAGAGAAACTGAGTTGGGCACTTTACCTACTGCTCACTCAAGCCCCTTCTCACTGCTCCCTCATGTCCTGTCTCCTGTTGGCTCATCACCTCAGGGCTGCCCTCACACTGTCTCCTCACGACGTCCCATCTTCTCACAGCTGCCCTCACACCCCAAACCCCTTATACCCCACCTCCTCACGATGCCGCAT